ATTTCTCCGATCACAAATGCAGACATGGTTTTACGTTTATGCGGCAAAAGACAGTATAAGTCATTATAATCCATAATTATGTCCCCACTGGATGCAACGAATGCCTCGTTTATAACGGGTTTTCATGTTTTTGAATCATCGCTCCGGCCTGACAGGGAATCATCACAATATGGTAAGGGGCGTAACATTTCCGTCACATGCTTGAGGTATTGGGCCAATCATAACGCACTGGATAGCTGGCCAATCACAGAACACCTTGCTTTTCAGACCGATGAGCTTTGTAAAAATCGGCACGTTTTAGAAAGGTGGGGCATAGAGGAGAAACAATAATGTACAGTATGTGGAAAATAATGTGTTTTTTGAACCTTAAACCGCATAAACACATTTCATTACACCAAATACACTAAATAATGTTATTTTTAGCAACATCATATGACCCCTTTAAAGTCAACCAAATATAGGGCAAGAAAGATGAAGGAAACTTACGTAAAGGTGTGGATGCCAGGTCCTCTAAACACTTGGAAATAGAGATGGGTCTGGCATTGGCTCGCTCCAGGGCAGCTTTGACAGGGCTGTCATCCTCACTGTCCCCTGTCACAGCCCATATCAAGAAGGAATCAGCAAACCATATAAAAGCAGAGGTCTACTGGTGCATTATATACAGCTATTAGTACTAAATATCTGATTTGAAACACTGATTTAAGGGGGCATTTCCACCCATTAGATTTCTGATTTCAGAGGATTTGAAATGTATATGTAATTACTACGTACAATGTAATAAAAAAAAAATAATAATTAAAAAAAGAACAAAAAAAAAAGATAATTAAATAAATTAATTCCATGAATATAGAAAAAAAATTATTTAAAATTGGTTATACATTTAAAATATTAAAATATACAAAAAAATAAAATTACTTATGATATATAAAAATTAATTTTAATAAATTAAAACAATATAATAAAGACTTTAATGATTGTAAGCTGATTTATCAGTGTCAGAGGTAGTGTTCATTTGATTCTAACTACAAATAATATTTCAAGCACCGTGTTATAAACTGAAACTTACCAGGAATTAAAAAAATTACAACAAAAAAAAATAATAATAATTTCATGATTTCAAAGAAATAAGTTCTGATTACTGAATTAGATCATTATAGAAACACGTAGAGGCAGGGCTTAAATAGTCATAAGCCTGTAGAACAAGTAGGTAATTTTATCATGTCTACAAATTTCAGCACCTTACTTGAGCAAAGCATCAAGTAGGACATGTTTCTTAGGTCACACTGAGCACTTGTTTTAAGGACATAAACCCTGCTTCCACAAAAATCACAGAACCAATCAAGGCCTTTTCTATCGAAACTAGACTGAACCAAAATGGAGAGGTGAGCTCACAGTATGAACTGGCGTGTGAGATTGACCAGGCTTCAGGTGTGGAGCTCCCAGAGGAGTCAAAGGTGATCTCCTCTGATTCAGGCTGGGAGTGTCGAGAAGGGGAGCTCTCATTGCTCACTCTGCCTTGGTTCACCTGTTCAAAAGTTTCACCTGCCTGCACCTTAACCTGTTCTCTTTCATCTAAGACTGCCTGCTCAGGTACGCCCAGGTAATAGTGTAAACTCAGGGGAATATAAAACCGGGACAGAGAGTCTGCTGACAACTTTCATTCTTTGGGCATGATGGGTCTTACATCAATGCCTCCATCTGAAGTCTTCCTGTGGTGTTCAGGAGAGGTACATGCCCTGGTTTGCCCTGGTTTAACCCTTACAATGCATGGACTCTTGTCAGCAGGATTGATATCTATCGCAAAGGTTCTTAAGGGAGAACCATCCTTCCTGGATTCTTTGTTTGGATATGAATCTCTACGAGGTACTTTAGACTGCAGTAATGGGCTGGGTGTTCTGGTTTGATCTTGGTCTTTTGGGTGGTAAATGTCAGTGGACTGTGGCTTATCATGTTGACCTTTTGCAGGGAGACTTCTGAGGGGAGATGGTGGTGGACTTGGCTTTGAATGTTTGTCTGAAATGGACTGTTTGAAATTAGAAATATTCTGGGTGGTGTAAGGTACCCTACCTCTGATATCCTGAACGTCTTGTAATGGCACTGGACTTCTCTGTTTTTCCTCTGTCTGTTTCATCTTCTCTTTTTGTGTCAAAGCAGCCTCTTTGAAACTCATTCTCTCTGGGGAACTTGGGTTGTTTGATCTGATGTCAAACTGAGGTTCAGAATGTTCTACTAAAGAACGTTTTGGAGATGACTCTGGGGATGGATCTTTAACGTTAGCTGTGCACGTTGGTGAGCCTACAATTACTCTAAGGCCACTTTTTTCTTTCTCCCAAAATGACTTGAGATCATTAATCGAGACTTTATCCTCCTGTTGACTTAGGGACATTTTGAAGGTGGAGATTTCCTTTTTCAAGTCAGGTATGTCCCTGGAGAGTGACTCTTCCTGTAGCTCATTGCCCAGAGATTTATCTTTGTGTTTAAGCAATGAACTGGGTGACAATTTGGCATTCATTTTCACTGTGAGAGTTTGTAGTTCACTGCTTGAAACTTCTGAGACCCTATTGCTCTCCAGACTAGAAGGCTTCTCATCTTCATGTGAGGATATGGCTAATATATCATCACCATTGGATGTTCTTCTAGATGAGACTGGAGAAATCTCACATGTTGTACATTCTACATCAACTGGATTTGGGTCATTGGGTTTGGGTTTTGATGGGCTGATGCTTGAATCTGACAACCTTCTGTCCACAGCATCGTGATAATTCTCATTAAGCTGAGAGGTCTCACTTTCTTCTACCTCAGCTTCTTTTTTGATGCTTAGTATTTTAGGCCCTCTGTTCCCCCTTTCCCAGAATGACTTCAGGTTGGCAAGTCTTCCTGGTGATATTTCACCTCGGTCAAACGTCTCTCTTTGTGGAGGATCTTCGCATATTGGTTTGTCTGTTTTGTCTGTTTTTTCCTGCAGTATTGCTGCAGTCTTGCTGTTTGTAGAAACAGAGGTCTGTGGAAGTATATTATCATCTTCAGGTCTCAAAGTGCAAGATGTTTTATATTCTGAACTTTCTGTTTTATCTTGACTTATCTCTTCTTTGTCAGATGCTTGAACTTCAGAACACTTGTCTTTTTTCTCTGCTCTCGAAAACAATGCAAAAAGCCCCCTACGTGGCTTTGGTGGTGGCTTGGTCTTTGGCTGTACAACTGGAGGCACTAAATCTTCTGACTTGGCTTCTGGGTTTTCATGATCTTTTGGTTCCTCTTCATTCAACTCTCTCTTAACTGGCGACTCCTTCAGCTTTCCATCTCGAGAACCTCTCCCAAACCATTCAAGTACCTTAGAAAATGAACGACCCTCTTCCACTGTAAGCTTATCAGTCTGGCCCTCTGCACTTAACCCAATGGCCTTACCTGTTACTTCAGTAGAGTCGTGGAAGTTGGACACCTGTGAGGACTGAGGCTCACCATAAACCTCATGATAACCTACAGTGAAAACAATCACAAGTTTGAAAGTCTTAATTTTTGCATGCAAGTGATAGAGAATACTTGTCATCAGATGATAATATTACACATTAAACTTGCAGTAAACACCCAGATAATAGTCATTTCTTGCAGTGCTTATTTAATAATCACCATTTGTGGATTAATCAACATACACATGAGCATTCACCAGAAGCCATGTGCTATATGTATGAGATATGCACGCACATGCAGTTAGTATGAGGGTACATTGATGTGTTAGCATGTGAACTGTTGAATTACAGGTTGATAGATTTTTTTGGCTGATTATCTCACTTAAACATTTCTTGGGTTTGATTATATTGTTAAGTTTCAGGGTGTCTTACCAAAGGGTTTTGGATCAAGCATTTCTCACTGTCTGGTTGGACAACCCATCTACCTGTCCATCCCTGAACCTTTCTACGGGCTCAGTGCTCATCACATAGGGACACTCGTGATTTTTAGACGAATCCAGGCTGTTTTGTGTAACTTTTTAGACCAGGCCTCTATGCTAACTCCCTGCTTTAATAGGATAGTTCACCCAAAATTGAAAATTCAAACACAAAATTGGTCATAATTTACTCACCCACATGTCATTCCAAACCTGGTGTTACTTTTTCTTCTGTGGAACACAGAAGACATTTTGAAGAATGTTTTTGTGGGTTTTTTTTCTATACAATGAATGTCAATGGGGTCCAATGTTGTTCATTAAATGGACAAAAACAGTTCAAAATATCTTATTTTGGATTTATCAGACCAAAGAAAGTCGAATACATGCTTGTAACAACATGATAGTGTGTAATAGAATTTTAATTTCCTGGGTAAACTATCTTTTTAAGCACTTCTCGTGGCTACAACTGTTACCATTGTCTGTGATATGGCTTCTATCCTGGTCCGACAGAGGACTCCAGTCTTCTTCCAGCACACTGTGCTCTCCTTGCACTCTCTCTATGGGCCCAACGACTGAGGAGAAGTGGACCTGTTTCCTATCTAACCACCCTGAGGCAGAGTGCACTGAGCAGGGGGAAAGAGGAGGGCAGATGGGAGTTTCAGGACTGACAGGGCTGACCGTAGCTGACGACTGACTGCTGCTGCTGTCATCATTGATAGGAATGTGGAGATGCAGGGAGACAGTAGAGCTACAGCTGGAGATGTTGTTCTTCAAGATGCCTCTGGGAGCAGGGGTTACGACCTGTTTAACTCCATTGTCACTGCTGACAGTGTCCAGGGAAGAGTCCTTGCAGGAATACAGCAGCAATCTCTTTTTTGGCATAGGTTTGCATTGTGTGACTATATGGGTGTCAGTGTTGTCTGTGTTTAGAGTAGTGTGATGGAGTGTGTAGTTGTCAGCTGGAAGGAAAGGTTCTGAAAAATAACCAAATAGTTGGGTAATGAAGCAGTAAAAGAAGGAGCAAAGACACATACATGCACAAAAAATGTGAATTCATGTTTTATGATGAATTCATTTTGCATTTAAATGAACAGGTCTGTTATTGTAACAGCAGTACAGTATCTGTTCATTTATGAAATTTGAATGGTATAGCAATGAGATGGAATACACTGGATAAAAGCTTGCAAGCAACCTAAGAATATGATGGTGCGTATTCTAGTCAGGGATAATAGATATATGGATACCATATCAAGTACTGGCCTATAGTTCAGCTGAAATCACATTTTCACTTTTACAGTGTATGTATTTGTGGTCTATTCCAAATATTCACAACTTTTATATTTACCTTTGCACTCATTAAGACTTGCCTTACTACAAAATAAAAACCCATAAAAATGTGCCATCTATGTATGAGGTACAGACTGGTCATGCGTGGTGGCTTAACTACTTAGAACGACATATTTCTCTGTGTAATCTTCTTAAAGTTTGGCAGCTCCATAAAGCCCTGTTACTCAGACCACTACAACAGGTTCAACTTTCTGCAGAAATATTTTGGCCAGACCATTTCAAGGAATGGCACTTTTTCACATGTATTGTAATAACACTAAATGTCACACATTACATATCAATGCCAATTATAAAACTACAATTTGGTATTCTATACTAATTATGCAAGCAGAGTAGAGTCAAATCCTGGAAATATACAAAGCTACTCTATTGTTGTACTTGTGCAATTGATTACTGAGTGCTTACACTCAAATATTTTGTTCCCATATGACCTCAAAGAAGCTTTTGATACTTTCATAATCAAAAACCGGAGACCAACATTTTTTTTTTTTGCCAACATAATGCAAATATAGAACGACATATTTCTCTGTGTAATCTTCTTAAAGTTTGGCAGCTCCATAAAGCCCTGTTACTCAGACCACTACAATATATGTAGTCTGTTACCACTACACTACAATAATATGTCGTGCTAGTTACTGTAGCTTGTATAATGCATTATACAAGCTACAGTAACCAAATGCAGGATTAACATGCATGCAGACAGCACTGAGTTATCACACCAAGAGCACAGATCACGTCAAGCCAACACCACAGCCCAGAAGAGGTTAACATGCTGTTCTCAATGGGGATCAGTCAAACAAACTTACTGTTCTTGCAAGAAATATGTTCTAACCCTTTGCTCTTTAGAACATCCACTCATTTAAAAACACAACCCATCTGTTACCTCATCTATTACTGGACTGAACAGCATCAAAATCATCACACAAATGTTAAATCTATGGCAATCACATATGTTACATCACAGAGATCATCTGTCAAATGCTAGTTCTAATAGAAAACGCTACATTATAAACTGTAAATCATTGTTGTTATTGTTAACTAAAACTAAAACTACTGAAAGTCATTTTCAGTAATTAAAATAAAGCTGAAATAAAATAAAATAAAATATAATAAAATATAATCATTAGATGAAAACTTCAACTTAAAAAGCTTAAAAAGCGAAAATTAAAAATGTTGACTTGGCAATTGATTGAAATAAAATAAGTTTAAGTACTAAAATTGCTAAAAATGAAATTAAAATGAAATAAAAACTATATAAAAAAACAAAAACTAATATAAGCACATAAAAAAATTACTTAAACTAAAATTAAAATGAAAATAAAAAGCTAATTCAAAATATAAATAAATACCTATAATAACACCACAATAAACTGATTAGTTGTAAATTACACATAAGGTGATTTTTTATTAGATAAACAACACTATCACTATGAAATATATATATATGTGTGTTTTTTTTTTAAATAGTATGAATCACCATATAATTAGCAAAATTTGCAAAACAGATTTTAGGTTGATTACATTTTATCAGTGAATTTAATAAAAAAAATTGAGAACTTTTTTAACATACGACATTAAAATGCCAAGTCCCGTAATGCCTCAATCTTTGTCACCAAGATTTTTTAATTCATACATTTTTATAGATTAACATACTATATGGAGTGTACAAAATCAATTTGAGGATAAATTGAGAAGATATTTCTCACCCTCAGCAGGTGTCTGGTCAGCCTCCTTCACTCCATTAATAAGTCTGGCTTCATCTCTTTGTGATCTCACACTATTGAATGGATTCTGCCTTGGCTACATAATAAATTTAATGGAATGATAAAAATACATCATGAATAAAACTGAAAATTCAGCAAAATGATCTTAGTAAATGCATTTTGTGTAGTGTACCTTGATTTGAGGTCTCTGTCTTTCCTGTTGGGCTTCCGACAACTCATCTTCCACCCTGTATGGAGGATATAGATTCATCTAAAAAAAATCTGATGAATTAAATGCAAGATTCACTAACATGATAATAGGCCACTGGGAGCTTTGCACTGAGCAATGTGAACAGTTCAGCATAATGCAATCAGTATATTCAATCATCAATACATCTTCATGGTTCTGGTCCTGAAGCTCCTGGAAAGTCACAAGATTCAGCAAGCACTAAGTTTCCATGCTGCGATGTGACAGTATAATGCCATTACATGGTGTCAGACAGAGGGAAAAACAGCAGCACGTGAAATCTGACCCCTAAAGCAGCTTACTGGCTCCAGATTCCCCTCACCAATGTCTGGGAAAACATTAGGTACATGGGAAAAGTTTGCCCTACAGATTACGTTAGACCTAGAATACAGGTTCACTCCTGAATCTCTGCCAAATTCACAAACATTTCACAAACGAGTATACATTAACTGGTAGACAGATTACTTGTCTTTTCATATTGTTCTACATGAGCTGTGATATGAAAGCTTTAAAAGCTAGTGTCCACAGAATTAAGGCTGCTGATGACAACATGATCAGTCCAGCCAGGCTAATGGGCGGATGCAGCGTTGGTGTGTTGAAAAGGCAGAGCCGCCGTAATTTCCTTTAATCAAGTAAAACAATGGCATGTGCTTGGTACTGATAACAGAAATGCAATTTTGAGTTTAGGAACTCAACTTTTTATTGCTACTTTTTATAACCTTGATTTGTGTTCAAGGCATTTCTAATTATTTTATATGGAAAATGTTACATAAATTTTCTGTTTGAAAATAAATAAATAAAACGAACACATACCCACTCAGATTTTCCTGTGTTTTGTTTTTGTTTGTTTTTTTATATTTTCCAATGAAAATCTTCTAAATAATAATGGCTGCTATCACAGGAATAAATTACATCTTAAAACATCTTAAAACAGAAAGCTGTTATTATAAATTGTAATAATATTTCTAAATATTACTGTTTTTACTGTATTTAAAAAAAAAAAAAAATGCACCCTAGGTGAGCATAAGAGACTTCTTTCACAGACACTTAAAAATCTTACAGAACCCAACAAAACCCCACACACCCTTGAACACAAATACAAATCTGTACCAATAGACTAACATGGCATGTGCTTATATGAAGACTTAATAATTGTTACAAAGTGTTTTGTTTATCTTTGGTTGTGGCTTATCTCACCTATGGCATGAAAAATAGGTGCATGAACACAACCTAACTATGCAATATTTACAATTTTTGTACCAGGTATCATAATAACCAGCATAGTTAATTACATAAAACCATGTGATCAAAGTACATTCTACAAGATTTCACAACACAAGAAAACAAGAAAATCAACAATATTTCAGCCCATGGTGCATCACATTTCAGTCAGATGAAACGTTGTACTGGAATGTTTGAATCATAAATGTACTTAATACCAAAAGCTCACCTCTCATTGTGTGATTGTGTGGACGGATCCTCAATGAGTCCTAAAAGCTCTGGAGGGATGTACACATCTTTCTTCTCACCATAAACACAACTGGGTTTCTCAGACCATCTTTGAGAGAGCTCCACTGCAATAAGAGATCATTTGTTATGTTCAAACATGTATTTACAGTCACAAGTACACATCTTAAAACCTCTAATGGAACTACATGAGATATATGATCTGATAAATGCTTTGATTTATGGGTGCTTTTTCATTAAAGGTAAAAATGTGATATATACCAAAAAAAGGGGGTGATGCAAACACTGAATTCAGGTGCTAATCAGGGATGGGGTACATGCAATGGAAATAATGAGAGATGTGAACAGAGTACGTTCTCCTCTATCTGATTCTGTCCGCTGGCAACACTCACATATCGTCACGGGTTTCTTCTGTCTCATGGACGCTCTGATGATGTCGGTGCCATGGATCCTGTCTCTGTGTCTGTGATTCTTTGTCTCATAAAACCACTCCCCTGTCAAGTACTTCAGCCTGCTTCTGTCTCGTTCAGTCTTACGAATCTGCCTGAAAGGACATCACATTTCTAAATAAATAAACACACACACACACACACACACACACATATATAAACATCCTGAAGTCCCAGCTGAGCCTAGTGACATCCACATAGACAAATCCCAGTCATTGTCTGAACTGTAAACTGTTACTCCGGAAAGTTAAACTGTGAAAACTGAACTATTTTTTTTTTTTTTCAGGACCCAGATATTCTGTTTGACGTCAAATGGCAAATAACACAAGCTGTAACCCATATTTAATGTAGCCTGGGTCAAATCTTCTTTTATCATTTTCTTTCATACATTTGTTCATGTAAAGGATGACGGCATCCCATACCACCTGTTTATGTTTGCATCTGCCTAATTTAGCTAGTTTTTAACAAGTTACAGATTATTGAACAGTTTGATGGAATGAATGGCTTTTGATTTTATAAGCTTATGTAGTTTGCTAGTTTGCTACCCTAACTACACTCTAAAAAATGCTGGGTTGTTTTAACCCAACTTTGGGTCAAATATGGACTAACCCAATTTTTGGGTTAAAAATGTAATTGAAAAATTTAAACCAACAGTTGGGTTAGTCCATATTTGACCCAATGTTGGGTTAAAACAACCCAGCATTTTTTAGAGTGTATGCACAATAAAATGGTCAGGTTGCATTTTCTTATTTGCATTTAGCATTATTAGTATTATTTTCTCCCATCCACAACCTTATTGGAACAGACCTGTCAATATTGTTTGGGTTTATTTAATAAATTCAATAAACAAATCCAAAAAGGTAAACATAAATAAGCATAAACACATTTCATTACACCAAATACACAAAATAATGTTCTTTTTAGCATCATCATATGACCCCTTTAAGACATGCAATCAATAGCAAGGAGCCAAATTGCATTAGTTTACAGGTATACATAGTTCATCCAAAAATGAAAATTCTGCCATTATTTTCTCATCATTATGTTGTTCCAAACCTATATGACTATAGGTGGAACATGAAAGAAGATATTTTGAAAAAAAAAAAAGAAGTTTTTATTGCCCATACATTGACAGTAAATGGTTTCCAGTGTTATTTGGACCCCAAGAGTAATACAGGTTTGGAATAACATAAGGGCCTGGATCAAACAGAACGCATTTTTGCATTTAAAAATGTGAATACAGGGCAGTGGAATAGGAAAAAAAAGACACAATGCCTAGTCTTAAAAGATTAACTTATTTTAACTTGAGCACTGTATTTTTAGAACGGTATATCATGCGCGACAAAAGAGTTGAGAACAGGAAAAAAAAACAGGTCTTCAGACACATTTATTCAAAGTTGAATTTATTTTACATTTAGGGACACATTTTTAGAATGGCATGTGCAAAACGCTGCAAAAGACGTGAGATGTGAGAACAATGGTAAAATACATTCCTCTGTTTACATACACAAACACTGGAGAAGTGGAAATATGGAATGCAAAAATGCGTTCTGTGTAAATGGCCCATTAGTTTGAGTAATAAGTGGACTATTGCTTTAATTAACTAGTTACGCCTGAATATACATGAATCAAGAAACCTTTCACCTATACTCACTTAATCCTCTGTTCTTCCAACTTCTTAAGATCTGCATCTCTCTTCAGCACTGCCAGGATCATCTCTTGCTCTTCCTCTGTCAGATAACTCAGGTCAATCATGATGAATGGCTTCGGAGTAAGTGATGCTAACAGATGAGTCTCAGATCGCCTGGTTCACTGAAAGTGTCAAGAGCATCACTGTGGGTAACTTGAAGGCTGATGCTTGATAAGTCACTCCATCACATCATGGAGAACATCAGAGGAGCACCTGCACCAGACACACAGGAGTATCAACAAATTAAAAAAAACACAGTATGGGCTTGGCTCACAAAGAACTATGTCTTCCTGTGAATTCTTCTGACCATTAAGATATCACATGATCCTAATTGAATCTATGAGCCGGGATTTCAAGACGTCTGCTTCGAGCATCATCTACGCTTCCCTAAACATCTGAAATGACATATTGTTTCTCTATATCAACTCCAGTCCATACCGTATGTGCTCAACACTGGACATGTGACATGGCATTGTCAGATGACTGTCAGAGGATATGAGTACTGGTCGCTTCTCAGAGCAAAGAGCACAGTCAAAGACTCTTTTATTCCTAAATCAAATTACACTTAACTCAAATTAGGTGGCAGCACACAAATGGTATCAATTTGAACAGTCTGCTTTTCTAAAAAAAAAACAGTTTAGAAACCCATGAAAAAATAGGAATATGTCTAAACCATTTAAAGAACTGGAATTTTGATATTTATTTTGGATGGAATGACCATTGGCAGAATTCCACACGTCTATATAAGGTAATATAACAAATAGAAGAAAAAAAATACTGAAAAAGAAATCTAACAAAATATTTTGTAAAAGAGCTTTGTGCAATAATAAGAGGCAAATTCCTTCTCATTGCATTGTGCCAATGACTTTTATGAATAAACTGTATTTAAAATTTCTTATAAATAGTTTACAGAGAGCTTAAATAAACAAATGTCTATACCAGAGAGACATTTTTCATAAATAAAAAATGTGACATTTATTTTTTTCATTTATTTATTTTATTTATTAATTATTTTGCATATTTTAAGATGACAATCTATAATCAGTTTTCTGGCTGTCCTGTCAGATTAATTTGGCTTGCATAATTGTGTGCAATAAGGCTACATTTAATGCTAAATGAATCATAAAAATGAACAGCAATAAGTTCCTGTCTTGCAAGGGCATATCTTTGATAAAGCTATGACACATTCCAGCCAGAGCGGAAGTTTGTTGTTACATTCCTATTTTGGAAACCTGTTCCCGAGTCATTTTCGTGATCGAGTCATTTCCATGAAAAACGCCTTTACATGGGTTTACTCACACACACACACACACACACACACACACACACACACAAATCATATCAGACAAGCATTTTCCTTCTTGTTCCAAGAAGAACAGTATGATTCTTTAGATTCTTTAGTAATGGTATTTTTAAATATTCACTTTTTAAAATCTAAATTTCTAATCTAAAATACACTGCTAAATGATTTCTCTCAGTACAAATCAGATTTCAAAATGACACAATAAAGCATTTAACAGTTTCCCTGCACTGCAGTGAGTTGGAAGTTTTGCTGCATGCTGTGACAGGGATGGGTTCTGTTTCAACAGGCGCTCATTTCATTAGGTTGTTTTCATGTCTGGAGTTTAGAGTTTTTATCTCTGGAGCCACTGTGAATGTTTTCTCATTTCCTGTTTCCTTAATCTGTTAATGCTTGTAACGCTATTTAGGAAAGAATGCAGGGTATTTATTTATATCCAGCTCAGAGAGTGATTAGTTACTTTTTACTTTTTTTCTTTTCTTTTCTTTTTCTTTTTTTTTTTAAATACATAATTGAAGCAAAAAATCAGCAAACCACTTCATAAGATAGCATGTTCAAAGCTGATTTTTAAAAAGTATTATTTCATATGTAGTTTTCATATGTAGTTGTAATTTGATAATGCTGGTTTGGCACATGATTTACATTATCTTGGATGAAAAAAAAACTGAACTAAAACATTCTCTTAGTCACTGAAAAAAAAATCAGATGCTTGAAACCCTGTAAAACGGTTTGTAACAGTAAAACTGCAAACCTGTAATAAGTGAACCCAAACCAGGTGACAACTCTCTGTTACGGTACATGCCTCAAAGGGATGTGGAACAGGCAAATGATTAACATGTATTATTCATGTTTGTGTTTGTATGAGACTAGTTCTTCTCTATTTTGGTAATGGCGTATCCCTAGAGGATCATCCCACCGATGTTGTCATGACATGCCTTTCTCAGAACCACCGGACACTTAAGTGAAGTTAAAGTTTTAAAAGGTAAAAACAGTATTAAGGGAAAGAAGTATTAATGTAAAATAAAACAGCTGACAAGCGAAAGTTTACCTGAATATTGCTTGTGTGGCTGCCAGACCGCGATATTTTCCAACACAGTTACTGTAACATCTGAAACACCAGAGGAACAAAATGATTTAAATCTCCAGCTTTAAAGTGAGGCGTGTACCGGTGGGTGTGTGAGGGAGTACTCCACGAGCTCTCGTGCACACTGGCTGCGTGTGAACAACTAGTAAGAGCTAAAAATGTTGTTGATAAACTTGTGGGGAGTTCCAAACGAAATCCAGAAATGCTTTTTTTCTGATTATGCTTGTATTGTTTTTATATAAAGTACTGACACCATATTTTTGATATGTTTAATATACTATAGCCTACCTACTTAAATTCATTAAACTCTGACACCGTTTCAGATAAAGGTATCAAACCAACTATAAAAATCTCTAAATATTATTCCCTGTAATGCACAAGGCTTGGTTTTTCAGATTATGTCTTTATTGTTTTTATATATGGTACTGAAACCATATTTTTGATATGTTTAATATACTGTACCTACTTAAATTAATTCGACTCCATTTGAGATAATTTATAAAAATATCAAACCAACTCTAAATTACTCTGAATATTATTCTGCATGATGCACAAGGCTTATTTTTCTGATTATTAATCTGATATTTTTATATACAGTACTGAATCTTGAATTTTTTTAGACAGCCTGGAACCCATTTAAATCCATTAAACTTGAACACCACTTCAGCTAAAGGCATGAAACCAACTGTAAATTACTCAAGAGTATTATTCTGGCTGATGCACAAGGCTTATTTGTTCTGATTATTA